AGTTGTACACATAGCATTAGTGAGATTGAAAAAGAAAGCTTATGCTAGGCAACTATACATTCAAGAAGCATTAATTGTATGATCAAAGAATGAAAGGTAAATTGGGTAAAAAAACACAATTCTTATACAGTGTAAGTTATGGAAGTGAGGGGGAGATATACTCAAAAGTTCCCAATGTTCTGAGACATTGTGTATTGTAAGTAATCATGAAACCAAATGTTATGAGATCTTGTGAATGTAATAGGAAGAGAATCTTGAAGAACATGGGTGTGTAGGTTGAATGCAATGCATAGCTTTTTCATGTCTGTCACAAAGGCAACTAATGTAATATGATTGATTTAAATCCTTCATAATAGTTTGAAAAACAGATGTAATATTCCATAGAGATACATAATACACTGTACTTTCAATGCTATAAAATAAAGAACCAATTCTAACAGCCACATGTTGAAAATAAAGTTGCTGTTCTTAGTGTATAAATTATTATGACAAAGCTCTAAAGCAGCTTTTCCTAGCCTCATGCCCTCCAGATATGTTGGGATTACAGCTTCCAGAATTCTCATGCCTATTGCTCATGCTGGCTGGATAATACTTTGATTTGTAGTCATAACATATATGTGGGCATTAGAGCATCTGGTATATAAACACTGAGCAGATATCATTGACTCTTAAGGCTAGGGAAAAAACAACCAAAGGTCCATTGATAAGAAAAGATGGAAAGAAGAGATCTCGAATTTAAACCTTGGGAGAGATGGATGGATGGATGGATGGATGGATGGATGGATGGATGGATGGATGGATGGATGGATGGATGGATGGATGGATGGATGGATGGATGGATGGATGGATGGATGGATGGATGGATGGATGGATGGATGGATGGATGGATGGATGGATGGATGGATGGATGGATGGATGGATGGATGGATGGATGGATGGATGGATGGATGGATGGATGGATGGATGGATGGATGGATGGATGGATGGATGGATGATTGGTGTGTAGATAGGTATCTAGATAGGTGGGTAGAAACAGATTGATTTCTGTGTTCTGTGGTAGGCATATCTGTGCATCTTTCTTGTCTGCCATGTTATATTTGGGAACTTCTGCTGTAAGCAAATTCCTAAATACTATACAGGGTTGATTATTTTAATTATCGAGATTTATTTGTGTGTCTGGTGTGAAGTCTGATAGCAAGACCTGCCTATTTCTATTCCCAGTACTAAGGGAAGAAACCCTATGTAGGTAGTCCTCAACTTATGACCATTCATTTAGCAACCGTTCAAAGTTATGACAGTGCTGAAAAAAGTACCTTACAACTGGTCCTTGCACTTATGACCATTGCAGTGTCCCTCCGCTCACGTGATAAAAATTTACTGAAAGTCTTTATTTGCCCCTCCTCCTTCTTCCCCCTGCCAGTACTCATACCATGACTCCCTGTATGTAGTCCATGATTACTGACTTTGAACTCTGTAACAATTAAGGATAACTATCCTCTTCCCCTACTTTGGCTGCAGAAAGTAAACATTTTTACCAAATTGTATCTCAAGGAGCTTACTACCTGATTTGCACAAAGACGGGCATAAATATTTAATGGATTTTTATTCTTATTTTGTGAAGAATCAGCCAGAGTCATGTATGTGAGGTGGGCGGCTATATAAATTGAACAAAAAATAAAATAAATGTACAGTAATGTCATATGGATTTGTAAAATGCATCTTCAGTCTTCATGCAATTTATGAATAATTTTTCATAAAATTGGAGTGACTTTTAATTGACAATTTACTCAATTCTGAGAATCTTGCCCTTCTACACTGAAAAATTCAGACAGTTTTTCAGTGGTTTTATGATTACAGTCTCTACTGTAAGTTAAAAGCTTTGATCTCCATGTATTGAATTATATGGGCCACCATATTTTCTTAAAAGGAATTTTGATGGGCCTGGCTAAAGTAGAATCCATTATACTTGGGAAGCACTCCCCAAGGGCATACCATATTTTTTCAGCTTTGCCAATTTTACCTGTCAATTTGTTCCTTATTTTTCTGAGCTGATCACAATCTGAATCCTTTTGCCAAGAAGGGGAATACTTTTAAGTGGAATTCTGATGATACTTAACAAGCTATTCTTGTACTCGGCATAAGCATTCACGTCTCAGTTGATTCTCTATCCAAATCCTACTTGCCTCTTTGTTGTATAAGCTTATTCTTCCCATTGGAGGCTGTATTTTTATAATATTCCAGAGTATGGCAATGTCCTCCTCACCTGTGCATTCATTTCCAAACAACTACTTCCAGCTAAAAGGCACCTTGATGTTTTTAACAAAGTGCTTTTGGTCATCAAAGAAGCATTCCCACATTGGTGACATCTTGAAGTTGTACTGTAGAAACAAACCTATTAATGTCTGATATGACCACAAGAATTTGGGACACTTGTAAGATTCTCAGACACATATGGGTGGGCGCAATTCTTTTATTGTTTTAACTTTCATATCTCTTACATTCCTAGCTTGTAGAACAAGCAGGTGGATGCTTTATTACGTAAGCCATATACGCCTTCCTTCCACTCCTTTGCACCCAGAAGAAATTGAACTCCCCCTCCAGTACTTAGCCACTCTATGAAACCTTTTGGTCCATAATAGAGACTTTCCTCACCAGATTGAAACTGTACCCAAGAAGGACCCATATATGAAAGCTTGGGCTCAGGGCCCTCTTATTTTTTCCTTCCCACTTTCCTTGGAATGGGAAAAAAAAAATGTCATAATGACTGGATTTATGTTCCACTATACTTCATGAAAGATCTCTATTTGTTCTGCCACAATAGCCAAACCAGCTGGACATTTTGGAGTATTTAAAATGATACATCTTCTCTGGGACTTTTGATAGTTTCATGTTAGAGCAGATGTCAAGGCCTACTGTATGTGTCTTCTTACCATACTAGCCTCTGTGCCAAGGCTCTCAACAATAAGTTGTCTAGACTATTACATCCTGTTCTCATGGGGCCTTGAGATACAGCTTCTTAGACACCTTCCTTACTGATCTACCATGTATCAAGGGCCTGAAATGCATTCAAGTAGTTGTTGATCTCTTTTCTAAGATGGTTCATATAATTCCCATTGCCTTCCCTTCACTCCTGAAACAGCTCATTTGTTTATTTAAGAAGTTTTATGAAACCACAGTTTGCCCAATCATTTCACTTATAGTGAAGGCATATAATTTATGGCATGTTTTTGGAACTGAATAGACCTAATAAATGTTAATCTTTGCCTTTCCTGTGGCCATCACCCGAAAACTGATGGAGAAACAGAAAAGACAAATACCACTTTAAAGCAATATCTTTGTTGCTGTATAAACTACTGGCAAGACAATTGTCATGATCATTTATGGCTGAATTCTCTTATAATAGTCCCATCCGTGCATTGAGTCAGACGCCATTCAGGCTACCTACAGTTACCACCTGCACTGGTTTCAAATGCTGCTGGGTCCTCTTTCATTCCAGAGACCTTCTGTTTTCTACAGGAACTACGAGCTGCCCAGGGATTTCTCAAGGATTAACTAGATTGTGTCAAGGCCTCCTTTAAAAGCACTGTGATGACCATCATTGCTAGGAAGGCCCACCTTCCTGTTGGAGGCTATGTCTGGCTTTCTACCAAATATCTTCCCTGTACACAATTATCTAAGAAGGTGGATACCAAATTTATTAGACCATTTCCCCTAGACTGCAGAGATAGGTCTTATAGTCTTTTGTTTGCATTTCCCAGCAGCACTGAAAATACATTCAGTTTTTCATCTCTTCTTATCCTGAAATCCCCCCCCCCTTGTAAATGGCCCCTAAATGCTCCCTCTGCTTCAATGGGTAGCCACTCTGGTAGTTCAGAGAAGGAGCTTTAGAAAGAAATTAAAGAGGAGTCTGCTGCACCAAGCTAAAAATAAACTGAGTTTTAAAATGAAAGTAATCCAGTTGCTAAAATGTTTGTAACCTAGGTTAACAATCTTGTTAAAGAAATCTCAGTGAGAATCTTGCTTTCTATAAAATTGATTGACAAGGAGAGGAAGAATTTTATCTAGCTAACACAAGAGAGAAAGGGAGAGAAATTGCCATACCTAAAGATGAAAGAGAAAGTTCTGGAATGGGGAGCTCCTCATGAAGAAGAAAAGGATATGAAAGTTGTCCCCTTTCTGCTATCTATTTCAGGAAGAAGAGTGGAGTAGAGGGGTCTGAAGGATGGCAGTGTTTCTCAGCTCCAGCCAATGGACAAGGAAATGGAAGGAGGGCCCAGTGCCCTTCAGCATCTCATAACTGGAGGAAGGGAGGATGAGATTAACTTGGTGCCTCCAAACTCAAAGGGGAAAATAAAGGAGAAAAATAGAGAGGAAAGCTGTGTCAGAGCTGAAGCTAGTGAGTCAAGATCCAGCAGTGCTCAGTGTTTATATAATAACCATTTTATAAACACTGAGCAAATGTCTCTTAAGTGTCAAGGCCAGGAAAATAGTCCATTGATTGGAATAAGTGGGAGGAAAAAGCCTAAAATTTAAACCCAGGAGCAGTGTGTGTATGTGCGTGCATGCGCACGTGCGTGCATGATTTATGACGTAATTTCTGTTTTCTCTAGTATGTAAATTTATGTGTATATGACTTCTTCTTGTTTGTAGTAAAGCAACTTATTTAGCTATGTTATACTTGTAAGGCTTCTGTTATAGTAAATTTCTTAATATAGAGTTGAATGTCTGGAGTGTCAAGATTTATTGCTGTTGTGAAGACTGGGGGAAGAATATTCTAAAGGATGATAAGCATTCTGTGTTTGTTCATATTTCACGTTATACATTTTATTACCATAGAATTACCGTTTTGTATACTCTTACTAAAATTAAACTAACATTTGAGAAATTCAACATTCTTAATTACTGTGTTAATTAGTAGTATATTTGAATCCATTAGCCTTACTGTGTGCATAACATGGATAGAATTTGAAATGAAACGTATTCACCTTGGTTCTCCACAGATGGTACTAGACAGGAAGAAGCCGAAGAAGAGCTTAGCGAGGAAGAGCATTGGTTTGGGAACTCTTCAGAAACCCCATCAGAAGCATCTTATGGAGAAGTCCAGGAGAACTTCAAATTATCCTTTGAGGACAGGATTCAAGAGCAATCCACATCTCCAGACACTTCTTTGGGAAGCGGGACTCCTAGCAGCAACACATTGGAGTTGGTGGCTGTTGAGAATGAGGCCATAAGGGATGTATTACAGAACAAGGAACACCTCTCCTCTAGTGTATCTTCTATCTGTGAGGATGACACTCCTGGCCCAAACAAACCATTGAGTAGTAACTTGAGACGTCTGCTGGAGGCTGGTTCTCTTAAGCTAGACACTACTGTCACAGTTAATGGACAGGTTGAGTCCCCTGTAAATCTTGGCTCGAATATCTCTTTTTCTCCACCTACACATCATGCTCAGCAGCTAAGTGTCCTTGCTAGAAAGCTAGCTGAAAAACAGGAACAAAATGATCAGTATGGCCCAAACACAGGGTTCATATGGAATCAAGGCAAATGGTTGCCAAACTCTATGCCCTCTTGCGGCTTGTCTCCAGATTCAGCAATCCTAAAATTGAAAGCCGCTGCCAATGCAGTCCTTCAGGACAAATCTCTTTCTCGAACTGAAGATCCAACAATAAGGTTTGAAACCTTTTCCTCACCGTTTAGTTCTCAGTCAGCAAGCTCCACCTTAGCTGCGTTATCAAAGAAGGTCAGTGAAAGAAGCATGACTCCTGGGCAGGACCACTCACCACCAGCAAGTTCTTTTCTTTCTCTCGCCTCAATGACTTCTTCAGCAGCCCTACTCAAGGAGGTTGCTGCAAGAGCTGCAGGCAGCCTTTTGGCTGAGAAGAAAAAGTCACTAGTTGTAGAAGATCCCCTGCAGCTTTCAGACATGAAGCAAGAGAAAGTGACTCCACCACAGTCTTTGGAACTATTGTTACTTCCAGCCCCTAAAGGAAGAGCTTCTAAAACCACAAATTCAGGTAGGAGTTCTCATTTTGCTCTAGATCCTTTATACTTCTTCATCTCTGTATCATTTCCATGTATACAGAAAATACAACTGAACAGAAGACAGCGAAAATACTGTATTCGCATCAAACAGAGTCCACCATCTTGATGTCTGAAACAGAATTAGTGTTTCAAATGGTTTTTTTCTGTGTTCTGAACAAAAAACAACATCATATCTGGAATAGTCCTACATGAAATTTAATAGGGGAAATCAAATAACTTCTTTGTTTTACAGTACAGAATGCTATGTTTTAATAGTATTTTCATCACAAAGAGATAATTTATCAGATTGTTTTGCCCTAACTGAACATATTATTTCTGTTTATTTTGTTTTTATCTTACACTTCTTCATTTCTACATGGTTTTCTTTCTAACCATTCGGTCTTTCCACCAGCCATATAAGATGGGTAACGGTCAGAGAATTACTAGCCAGAGAGTATCCAGTGGTTGCAAAAGGAGCCATTAACTTAGTTCACCAATCTGTAAAGAGAAAGCACGGCTGGGTAATACCAGGGGAGGGGTTTCCCACCCATATTATAGTAGATATCCGTTGCTATATTACTAATTAATTAATATTGATTTTATTTGATTTAGGTACTGCCCCATTCTGAACTGTGTGGCTCATAATATAGAAAAAAACAAGACAAAAACACAATGCAAAATAAATAAATAAGGTGGGATCCAGCCACTCTGTGAAAAAATATATACAAAACATATCCAACAAGAGGCTCCATCCGTCCTAACCCAAGCTCTGGGAGAACAGCTGCATCTTCAAAGCCTTCTGAAATGCCATCAGGATGAAAGCTACACAGATCTAGGGAGGGATCTCATTCTAGAGGGCAGATGCCCCAATAGAGAAGGCATGCTTCCTGGGTCCCAATGGATGGTACTGTTTAATCAAAGGGACCCAGAGCATGCCAACTCCGTTGGCTTGTACTGGCCAGGCAAAACTGGTGAGAGAGAGGCAGCCCCTCGAATAACCTGCCTGGGCCTTATGCTGCAGGACTTCATAGCACCTTGCATTGCACCTAGAAGCATGCTGACAATGAGTGAAACAGGTGTCATGTGGGTATACCATGCCCTGCCCATCACTGCCTGTCCCACACATTTTGGACCAGTTGAAGCCTCTGGGTGGTCTTCAAGGGTGGTCCCATGTAGGGCATGTTGCCATGAAGTGAGTACAGCAGGATCGACTGTCTAAGTGGTCTTCCAATCTAGGAAGAGGCACAACTGCCACAAAAGATGGTGTTGTACAAAGGGCTTCTTTCTTATAATTTTTTTTGAAAATCTTTACATAATCAAAAGATAAACAAGAACAAATGTATAAAAGAAAAGTAGAAAAATAATATAAAAAAAGTGCTAGAAAGAGAAAAAGAGAAAAAGAAAACTTAAAGAAGCAGCTTCAGATCTTCTTTACAGCAGTTACAAACTTTTATCATTTCTTCCCTTTTAGAACTGCGTTATATAGTTACCTTCTTCCCGTATTCAACCCCTTTTAATCAGCAAACCCAGAAATCACCAGTTTATTTTTATCCATTTTCAGCAAAAAGTCCATATAATATTTCCAGTCTTTTATAAGAGTACTTTCTGTTTTGTCTCTAATCAAACAGGTCAATATTGCTACGTCTGCAAGTTCTGCCATCTTCAGAATCCACTCCTCCATTATGGGAACTTATGTTTTTCCATCTTTCTGTATATAATAGCCTTGCTACAGTTACCATATATAAAACCAGTCATTCATGGGTCCTTTCTAATTGTATGTCCATAAGTCCTAATAAAAAAAGTTCTGGTTTCATCTGAATATTAGTTTTTAAAATTTGTTGCATCATCATATGTATTTGTGCCCAGTACTGTTTTGCTTTTTCACATTCCACCATGCATAATAAAATGTTTTTTCATGCTTTTCACATTTCCAAATAGTTCCTTTATACTAGACAATTTCTCTGGTGACCTATACCAACGGTACATCATTTTATAAAAATTTTCTTTTTAATTGTAGGACAATGTGAATTTTAAACCTCTTAACCACATCTTCTGCCGTTGATCCATATGAATGTTATAACCAAAGTTTTTAGCCCATTTTATCATACACTCTTTAACTTGTTCTTCTTCCGTTTCAAATCTGAACAAAAGTTTATACATTTTAGTAATCACATGCTCATCATTTGTACATAATTCATTTTCAAATTCCATTTTATGATATTCTGTACCTGGTATTTTTTAATCTATATTAAATCTTTCTCCTAATTGTATATATGAAAACCACTGACAATTAAATCCCTCTGCAGTCACTTGTTCTCTCAATTTCATCTTAAGGTCTCCATTTTCCTGTACTAACAAATCTTAATATGTTAGCCCACTCTTTGCCCACTGTTTTCTGTAAAATGCTGCTTGTGCTGATGCCAACTGAAGTATTTTTGAGCATTGCCTGGGTCTGTATTCATTCCATATTCTTAAATGGCACTCCTAACATAATGATTTTTGAAATCTACATCAACTTTGACTTTATCATATCACAAAAAACCATGCCACCCAAACCTCAGGTTGTGCTCTTCTAGTTCCAGCGTTCCAGCATTCTCTTATTTCTCTGTAATAGCCATCCTTTCATCCAAACTAAGCAGCAGGTTGCAAAATATAAATCTAGATATATCTTTTTGCCAATGCTTAAAAGGTTCATCATTAGTCAAAGGAGGTATTGTTTGAAATAAAAACATTGTTCTAGGCAGTACATTCATTTTTACCACAGAAATTCTTCCCAAAAATGATAATTGTAACTTTTTCCATCTTGACATATCTTTCTTAATTTCATTCCATAACTTAAGATAATTATTTTGAAATACCATATAGTTCATGCTAATCGTAGCAATACCTAGATATTTTACTTTTTTCTCAATCTTAAAGCTGGTTCTCTTTGATCTTCCATCCTCATATTTTTTAGCGTCTTTGTTTTTTTGTTATTAATTTTAAATCCAGCCAATGCACCAAATTCCTTTAGTTTTTCCAATAATATTTCTATTGCTCCCATAGGGTTTTCCAAAATTAAACCAAACCATCTGCAAATGCTGTTAGTTTGTATACTTCTTTTTTAACCTTTACTCCAGCAGTCCTCTAATTTTACATCTCTATTCAAAACTGCCTGTGTGAGAATGAGTAACAACAATGAAACATGGCATCCTTATCGCTTCTCAGCCTTTTGGCTAAGATCAAGTATTGCCTGGTTCCTTTCTGTATATCACAAGGTTTGGTCAATTCTCCATTAGCAATGATTTGTGCCATTTGTGAAGTATATATTGATTTTACCCATGTAATAAAATTGTCCCCAAAGTCCATTTTCCAGAATCTTAAACAAAAAAGTCCAGTTCAAATTACCAAAAGCTTTTTCTGCATCAAGGGATATCAGTGCAGCCTGTTTTTCATTTTGTTGCTCCAAATATTCTAATATATTAAGAATATTTCTAATGTTGTGTACAAAAGCCTTCTTGGCCATAGCTGCCACCTATTCTTTGAGTAGGAGTTGAGAGTCCAAGATTGTGCAAAAGTCCTAAATGGGGAACAGCTACCTCATCCAAGATTAAAGATGGAAAATCCCCAGATTTAGAGAACCCTAATATCCACAGCCGCTTGGTCTTGGTAGGATTGAGTCATAGTTGGTGTTTCCCTATCCAGGCCTGCACAGTCTCCAGGCCCTAAGAGAGGACCTTGACAACTTTACTTGGCTGGGCTGGGGTCAAAAGATATAATTGGGTAGTCTCAGCATATTGATGTTACTGAACCCCAAACCAGCAGATGATGTCATCCAGCAATTTCATATAGATGTTAAATGCAAAGGGAGAGAGTGTCAAGCTCTGTGAAACTCCCCAAAGAAGGGCCCTAGGGAGTGATCTCTCCCCCCTCCACTTCCCCTGCCAACAACAACTAGAAGGAAGGAGGAGAACCACCATAAAACAATGCCCCCAAATCCCAACCCCTGCAGCGGGTCCAGAAAGATACTACGATAGACAGCACTGAAAGCTGCTGAGAGATCAAGGAGCACAAGGATGGATGCACCACTTTCATTCTGACTCCACCACACATCAAAAAGCACAACCAGAGCTGTCTCCATATTGAATCCCAGCCTGAAACCCGACTGTAACGGATGTAGATAATCCACTTCCTCAAGGTTCTCAACAGTTGCAGCCCAACCACTTTCTCAACAACCTTCCCTAAAAAAAAAGTTGGAATGAGGTTGTTCAAGATTCTTGGGTCTTGAGAAGGGGTGCGCCTCTGCCTCCTTCAAGGCTGAAGGCTCCACTCCTTCTCTCAAACAGGCTGTCACCACAGCATGGACTCAACTACAGGTCACCTCCCTTGCTGCCTTAATAACCCAGGAGGGACCTGGATTTAACAGACAGGTAGCCACTTCTTCAAGAGTCACTATCTCAAACTCAACCAGATCACATCACAAGATGGAGCTGTTGGCAGCTTGGCAAGACCTGGCCAGTTGGAGTCTAAGTCAGAATTGATCTAAGCAATTTTATCTGCCAGATAGCCAGAATACTTCTCAGGCAGCCCTATGGATGATCCTGTAGCCTGTCCTTCCCAGCAGGGACCAAGTTATCCTAAATATGGCCACTGGATAACTATCAGCAGAAGGGTGGAGAAATATTGATTTTTTTTGTTGCCCTTCTTGCCATGTGTGGGCTCTTACCCATGTTTGTTGAGACTCACTCCCAGTCTTCCTCCAGGGGTGCTCCAGGCATTTCTTCTGGCACTTCATCTCCCAGAACTCCTTGGTAAACCAAGGTATTCCCTGGGATCAGTGACTGGGAGAGCCACCCACCCATTCCAGGCAGCAACTAAGGTGTCGGCTGAACTGCACATCAGTTCTTCAAGGAAAACCCCAACTCCCTCTGGGTCCATCAGTTGTCTGGGGCAGGCCAATCAAATGGGCCCTATCTCCCAGAGGTGAGGATGGTTGTGATGCCATACCTTTAAA